GGACAATGAATAAGGAAGACCAAAGAAGAGTTGATGCTTCTGAGTTGTGGTGTTGGAGAAGAATGCTAAGAGTACCACAGACTGCCAAAAAGACCAACAAATCTGTCCTGGAAGAAGAGCAGCCAGAATGCTCCTTGGAAGTGAGAATGACCGGACTTCGTCTCATCCACTTTGGTCATGTTGTCAGAAGGAACCATTCCTGGAGAAGGATATCATGCTTGATAAAGTGGAGGGTCAACAAAGAAGGGCAAGGCCCTCAATGAGATGGATTGACACAGTGGCTGCAACAATGAGCTCAAGTATAGCAAGGATCGTGAGGCTGGCACAGGACCGGGCAGTATTTCGTTCTGCTGTGCATAGGGTTGTTATGAGTCGGAGACAACTCAACGGCATCTAACAACAACAAACCAAACTCACTGTCATTGAGTTGATTCGACTCATAATGACCCTTCATTGGGTTTCTGAGGTGCTATCTCTATAGGAGCTCTGGTAGCATAGTACCTAAGCACTTGACTGCTAACCAGAAGGCTAGCGGTTCAAACCCACCAGCCACTCCTCGGAAGGAAGGTTGGGCAATCCTACTTCCGTAGTGATACTGCCTCGGAAACCCAAGGAGGGGTCACTATGAGTCGGGGCTGACTCGACGGCACACAACAACAACAACAACATCTCTATGGAAGTAGATTGCTCAATCTTCCTTCCAAGAAGTGGCTGGTGGGTTTGAACCACCAGCCTTTTGGTTAGCAGTCAAATGCCTTAGGTACTACACCATAAATACAACCACAAGAAAAAAAAAATGTTGATAACACATATGACACAGAGGTGATATCATTCATATACAATGAGCTTCTAGCAAGTAATAAGAAAAACAACTTAGTAGAAAAGTAGGGAAAAGATAAGAATAGGCAATTTAAATAGGAGGAAATACCAACAAACATGAAAATGTGCCCCATTTCAATGCTTGGGAAAATGAAAATAAAGACAGTAATGAGATAACATTTTCACCTAACTAATTAACAAAAATTTAAAAGATAACTAATGGTCAGTGCTGGTGAGGATATGGGAAAGCAGGCATGCTCATATAATTCTCATGGCATAATAAGTTGCTACAACATTTTTTGAAAGATACTTGGCAATATCCATTAAAATTTAATGAAGACATAATCTTTGACCTAGCAATCCTACTTTTGAGAAATGAAATAAGAACAAGCAGAAGGTTGACAGTTCAAACCCACCAGTCACTGCACAGAAGGAAGGCTGGGCAAACTACTTCCATAAAGATTTACCACCTTGGAAACCCAAAGGGGGTTGCTATGAGTTGGAATCCACTCGATGGCTGTGAGTTTGGTTTTATATTGAGGTATATTGTAGAATTATTCATCCAAAAAAAAAAAAAAGAACATCTTGAATGTCCATAGTTAGGACAATATTTAATAAATCCCAGTACATCCATACAATGGAATGTATGCTATAATTAGGTAGATTTATATGTATTAATCTGGAGAAATGTACATGGAACCTTCTTAAGAAAAATAAATTGCAGAATGATCTATATAACATGATCCCATTTTTTTCAAATGGAAAGAAAAGGAAGAAAAAGAATAGAAAAAACTGTGTAAGAGAGAGAGAAAGAGAAAAAGAACTTAGAAGTATGGAAGGCTGCACGTCAGTATTACATCAGCTCCCTCATTGATGGGAGGGTAGGAGAAGAGCATTATTTGTTCTTTCCATAATAATAATGCTGTATTGTTGGACTCACTGTAAAGCATTCCAAAACCAGGCAATCTACCTTATGTAATTAAAGAAAAAATAATCCCACCAAGTAATGCAAAGGGGAAAAAAAGGAAAAATGATCTGTTGTTTTGGGTTAAAGTATTATTGCCTCCTAAGGTTAGGGGCCATTTCTTATATTGGGCATAGAGCAAGCACTCAGTGGAATTCTTCTAATAACTGACTTTGAGCCACTTGCTTCCTTTCTCTGGGTCTCATTCACAAAATGAAGATATTAACTCAAGAATCTTTCAGATCCTTCCAAAATTATAAATTCCAGTAATAAGTCATTTGTATTAAAATACATTACCTTGGGGCATCTTTGAAAGCCAGTAGAACCTGGTCAATGTGTTGGGGGCTAGCAGTGGAGAGCTGGTGGTGAAAAGAGGTTTTGCTGGGTAAGCTGAATTTATGAGAGGGAAGGACATGCGACCAGTATGAGAGTCATGATTTGGCCCTCAAATGATCAAATCAAGGCACAGGGAAAGTCTGTCTGATAGGAGTTAGGAATTCTCTTTTCTTCTCTTTAGTAAGTTCAGCATGAAAGAGAGAAGAGGTGGTGTGGAGGACAGAGAACTAGACAGACATTGTACAGAATTGCTCAGGCTGACCCTCAGGGACTATTCTAAATCAGTCTTCTCTTCTGCTTTCAGGAACTGTCTGCCACTCTTGGAGAATGCAAGAATCTTCAGCTCCAGAGGAAGGAGCAACATCCATCCCAGGCCATGCTCTCAGCTGCCTGGAACAGCTTCGAGGGACACCTGTTCGTTTCAGCCCAGGCCTGTGTGAGACAAACCAAGCACGAGGAGGAGTTTTTGCCATCCACTGTTGCCTCTGGCTATGTTACCACCAGAGTGCTTCTCCTCTTGTACAGTCCCCTCCCCATCCCCGGTCCTACGACCCTAGGAAATAGATGCAGATGGAGACACTCACCAAGGACCAAGAGGCGAACACGTGACTTAGAGGTGCCATCCAGGTCTGACATCAGAAAGACGGAGCACTCGTAGGTGCCATTGTCCTCCATGGTCAGCTGGTTGATGGTGATGGAGGCATCTGACTGTGCAGCATTGCTTGAGACGTTGACGCGATTCTCGTAGCGGTCACCGTAGACGTACTCATTGGTCAAAAATTTCCAGGTGAGCACTCTTTCCTGGGAGGAAGAAGAAATGCCAGTTGGATTTTACCATAAAGCTCTGGCATGGTATTTCCAGCCTCTCCTGACTACCCTCACTCAGAACTCCCAGAGCCTAGAGACATAGACACACCTAGCCCTCAGAACAAGCAAACAGCACCAACACATGACACTCATCTTGTGGATTCTTCTTATTTATGCATGTGTGTGTGTATATATAAATACATATATAATAAAAAATATTGAAATACTGGCGTACGTGGGCATTTTCCATGACAGGAACACATGTGAATAAATGGGGTGTCTCAGATCATAAAATGGAATGCCTTATACAAATATATTTAAAAAAAAAAAAAAAAGAGTGAGATAGATACAAGTGGACTAATTCACAGAAAGAGCTCCAAGATATATTAAGAGAGAAAAAGTTAAATGCAGAACAATGGATAGGTAGCATATGCAAACACACATATTCATATATCTATATGTATATATGTAAATATATATATGTTTGTATATGCATGGCCGATCTCCAGAAGACTACCAAGAGAACTGGTAAGAGTGGTTGACTTTGTGAGGGGAACAGAGGCTGGGAGTCTGGGGAGTGAGGCAGAGGTGTTTTTGTACTGTTTGATTTTTTTGTCCTGTGTGCATTACTTAAATACACCTTAAATACTTAAGGCGTACTTAAATAAAACAGGCACTCCTGTACATTGCCATGAGAGCCCAAAATGCTCCACTATGGAGGACAATTTGGGAATCTGTGTAATAATTTGTTATTATTATTATTATTATTAAAAATGAATTTACTCAGGGAATGTAGTCTATAGGTATAAATGCACACATAAAATGGCATATGCACAGTTATTCTTGAGGCATATGTTCAGTTATTCTTGATATTCTTGTAACAGAAGATTGAAAACAAGCAAGTGTCCATCATTAAGGGAGTGGTTAATGAATAAAATTATCTCCACACAATGGTATCCTATCAGCTCTACAACCAACGAGCAAGCTCTCTGTTTACTAATATGAAAGATCTCCAGGAACTACTGGATTGGGGGAGTTCAAACTACCAACCTTTTGGCTAGTAGTCAAGTGTTTGACAATTTGTGCCACACAGGGACTCCTCCAAAAGGTAATAGGTGATAATAATACCCTAAATGCAGTGCCTAAGGCAATTATTTGACTGCTACTCTGAAGGTTGGCAATTCAAAATCACCAGCTGTTCTGTGGAAGGAAAATGGAGCAATCTACTTCTGTAAAGATATACTGCCTTGGAAACCCAATGGGGGTCACGATGAGTCAGAATTGACTTGATGGCAGTGAGTCTGGTTTTGTTTCTTTTAAATGCTTCCATACTGTTAAAAATCCTTACCGAATGACTCCGTAGCAGCTTGTCCCATTGGATGAATCCCTCTCGGTCAGGAGCAGAAGTTTGGTAACTGCATGGAAGCATGAAGCTTTCCCCCCTGGCAGCCCGAAGAACGTCCGGGGGTGTTTCCACAGTGATAGCATTGACAGTCGCCCAGACTGGAAAGAAAGCACAAAGTGGGAGGAAGAAGACAAGATCATACTCACTCATTGCCTAGGGAGCCTCTGTGAGAATGCCTAGAGATGTGCTTTCTCTCCAAACACAGTTTCGTATCACACTCTTCAACAGTGACAGGGCCATGGCCACTGCTTGTTCTCCTCCAAGACAGAGGAAGACAAGCACGTGTAGCCTGATCGCCCGTCTCCCTCCCGAGTATCACAAAGAAATTATAGGCATTGTATGGCAGCTTAAGGAGCTTGGCTTTGAACTTTAGTCCCACCTGGTAACAGTTGTGTAAATTCTTACCAGCCTCAGTTTTCTCATCTGTAAAATAAGAACACTAATATTTACCTCCCAGAGCTATTGGGAGAATTAAATAAGATACTATGTGTAAAATGCTTTGTTTAGTGCCTGACACACAGAAAGCTCTCAATAAATATTAGCTGCCATTTTAGTTGTGATGAGGATGATTTATTCATTCATCTAACAAATATTTATGGAGCACTTACTATGTGATGAGAAATCCTGTGAATAAGATTAGATCAAGATAAAGGGATAAAGGGTATTCCCAGGGTGTGTTATTTTACATAAAAGTCTCTCTTGGAAGGAGAGGACCTGAAAAAGGTAAGAAGAAAGTGAGGCCACCCTGTGTCTCTCATCACACACACACTTCTTGCAATGTGACATATACATACGCTCCTCCATCAAAAGAGGGGGTCTATTTTCCCTCCCTGTAAATCTGGGTGGGTCTGTGACTACAGAGTAAATGACATTGTGTGGCTTCTGAGGTAACTCATATGAGTTCATACCTTCCTCCCGGTCCTCTTGAGAGGTGTACCCTGGAACTCAATTCTTAGAGGAAGCTAAGCACCCACATGGAAAGACCATGTGTAGGTGTGCAGGACACAGCCGCAGCCGAGGTCCCTCCAACTGCCTGCACCAACTGCCAGACATGTAAGTGAGCCCAGTGGTCTAGCTGCCTTAGGTAACTACAGGGAAGCAGAGATGAGCTGTCTCTACTGAGCACTGCCCAAACTGAAGATTTGTGAACAAAATATATATCTTCATTATTTTAAGGCACTAAATTCGTGACTAGTTAGTTACGCAATAGCTAAGTAGAACAGTAAGCCATGTGGCTATCTATGGAGAGAAGTTTCTAGTCAGAAGTACAGCAAGGGCAAGGCCCTGAGTCAGCTGGAAGTTTAGCCCATGTGAGGAACAGCAAGGGAGCCAGTGCTGGGAAAGGGAAGAGAGTGAAGAGGAGAGACAATGCAGAGAAATAGATGGGTCTCAGATCACACTGGGCCTTGTAGGCCCTGTTTGGGACCGTGTATTTTACTCTGAATGTTATGGGAAGCCCTTGAGGGGATTTAAGCAAATGTAAGGCATCTGACGCATATTTTTAAAAGATCATTCTGGCTGCAGTGGGGTGAATAGACAGGAGGGAGCAAAAAATGGAGTGGAAGTGGGAGATCATGCAAGAGGCTATTTCGATAACCCAGATGAGTGCTAATGGTGGCTTGGACTCAGGGGATGATAGAGGAAGTGGTGAGAAGCGATTCCAATTGGAATGTATTTAGAAAGTAGAGCCAAAGAGATTAGATTGCAGATTGGGTTTCACATGTCAGAGAAGGAGAATCAAAGATGAATACAAGTGTTTGGTCTTAGCAACTGGAAGGATGAAATTGTCATTTATGGAGATGGCCAAGGCTGAGGGAGGAGCAGGTTTGAGGGGAAGGTCAGGAATTTGTGGACATGTGAAGTTTGAGATACTTATTAGGCATCCCAGTGGATACATTTGGGAGGCAGTTATATTTGTCTGGAGCTCCATGGAGAGGTCTGGAATGGAGCTACATCTTTGGAGTCACAATTCTAGAAAGTGTTTAAGCCCAGAAAGTTGGAATAATTATCCAGGTAGTGTGTGTAAGCAGGAAAAAAAAAAAAAAAAAAATCCCATTGCCATCGAGGCATAGAAGCAACTCATGTTCATTGACATACTTTAGGATGCAGCAGAACTGCCCCATAGAGTTTCCAAGGCTGTAAATCTTTATGGAAGCAGACTGCCTTATCTTTCTCCCACTGAGCAGCTGGTGGGTTCAAACAGCTGACCTTATGGTTAGCAACTGAATGCCTTAACCACTACACCACTAGAACACCAGCCAGTAGTGTGTGTATCAGAGACAATAACTGAGGACTGAGACCCAGTGTTTATGGTGGGGAAGATGAGGAGGAACCTGCAAGGAAGATGGAGAGGAAGCAGCCAGGGAGAGAGGAAGAGAACCAAGAGAAAGCTGTTTCCCAGAGACCACACAAGAAATGTGTTTTATGAAAGCAGAGGAGTCAACAACTCACATGCTGCTGACCTGTCAGACCAGTGAGCTAAGGATTGAGCAATGCCAGTGGATGGGCCCATGACGGTAGCTTGAGCAGGTCCAGTGGAGTGGTGGTGGTGAGGGATGGAGCCCAGATGGAGTAGGCACAAGAGCAAAGGGGAGGATAGGAGGTAGATCACTTCTGCTGGAAAGCAGAGAGAGAAAAGGGGCAGTAGTAGCTAAAGGAGGTTGGAGGGGCAAGAGGTATATGTGTTTTAATATGTATTTGATGATTTTGAGTTATCTGTGACCATGTGCTTGATGATGATGAGAACAAACGGAGAGAAGATGGAGACAGGAGTGATGTCCTTGTAAAGCAAGTGGGACTGTGGCCAGGGAGCAAAAGCCCTTAGATAAGATACTGGGCCATCTATCCACTGCAGCACTCTGTGGCTAAAGATACAGGTGGTAGGAGCATGAGCAAGTTCTTTCTGAGTGTTTCTATGATGAGGTTGCAGCATAAAGAAGGAACATGTCATGCAGAAGACCATTCTCCCTAAGCGACACTAGTTCCCAAAGTTAGATTAACAACCTTCTCTTTTTAAAACACAAATAGCTCCAAGGGAATAGTTAAATCACTCATTCACGCTTTAGTATGAAGTATTTCATTAAAAGTAAAAATTATCTGCCCTTCCAGAATAGTGGAAGAAGCTCTGGTGGTGCTGTGGTTAAAGCATTGGGCTGCTAACAAAAAGATCAACAGTTTGAACCCAGCAGTGGGAAAAAGATGAAACAGTCTGCTTCTGTAAAGATTTGCAGCCTAGGAAACCTTCCGTGACCAATTCTACTCTGTTGTATAGGATCACTATGAGTTGAAACAACTTCATGACAGTGAGTTTTGGTCCAGAATGGTCACTGTGGTGAAGGTCTTGTGAGCTCCTGGGACGAGTTTGCAAAGTCAGAGAGTATGAGATACTAGGAGAGGGACAGAAAGTTGTTAAAGACCAACATTCCTAGAAAACCCAAGAGATTCAGTCAAAAACCTACTGGAACTAATTGAGAGATTTAGCAACATCGCAGGATATAAGATGAACATCCAAAAATCAGTTGGATTCCTCTACACCAGCAAAGAGATTGCTGAAAAAGAAATAAG